CAGTGCTGTGCGATGTCTATAATTTTAACATCGATGTCAAACATCGATGTTTGCCTAAGCATCGATGCTAAATTTCGATGTCGGATTTCACATCGATGTTTGATCGATGCCCATTGGAACATCGATGTTCAATCAAGATAAACTCAAACAATTTAAAAAAAAAAACAAAACCAGGTTTGTTCGAACAGAAGTTCCTGACGCATGCGCAATGTCATTTTACAATGCGAAGAATAACGTGCATGCCGGTTCTAAATCAGTTACAGTTAGGGACTAGGGACTTGCGTAGGAATAACGTAAGTAACCTAAATTTAGAAAGAACAGGTACAGATAATTTAGCTCTATATGATTCGTGTACGATCGTACATGCAAAAAAAAAAGTCGACAGAGTTTTTTTTACTCTTTCCGCCCTGTGGGCACTAAGAGGGCCTTTTATAGCAGGCCCATTAAGGGTTCGGCCAGGCCCACAATGGGGCGACCGGGTGGTGAGGGACGGGGCCCGACATATCCGAACGGACCACTCCCGAAAAATTCCTGGGGATTCCTTGACCCGTCCGGATTCGATCCTGGGTCCCCAGACGGTAGGCTGCCACCTTGACCGCTCGGCCATCCGGCCTCAAAGTCGACAGGTTGCGCGCCACAAGTCGGCGTAAACAGACTAGCATGGCAGAGTTGCGGATGAGTTTCAATGAGTGTGAGTTCGTTCACTGTTAAAATAGTGTAAATTTGTAAACATATTTGCAAGAACTTTGTTTCATCGCAATTTCACAATTTCTACGAAATTCCCGGACTATCCGGTGAAAACCGAACAGGTGGTAACACTAGGAACAAAGAATGAACTGCATGCATCGATGAATCAAAATTCACATATTGCTAACATCGATTCAGGATCGATGTTTCAAAAACATCGAAAGGTCGATGCATCGATGAACATCGATGCATCGACACAGCACATCGATGTGTCGCATCGATGCATCGCACAGCACTATTTAGAATACGTGCAATTCGGAATACGTCCTGTTTGGACGAAACAAATTTTGCTCGGTATACGACTTTTATTCGGTATACGATATAATTCAATTATACGCGCCATCAATGAACAAGTAGCACTAGTACTATCGGTATACTAGACCAGATTAGACGTTCGCGGTGCAACGGTTTATAATTTTGATAAATTTCTTCTAATTTTAATTCGTAAGTAAAATTTTATTATTTTTATTAATCACGAATCGCAAAAAGGCAAATGAAAAGCGACAGAAAACTAAAAAATGACTAGTATTACAATGGAACTGATAAAAGAGATTGCTGAGAAATACGAAGGTGGCACGCGTGTTCGAGATTTTAACTGTTGCCTACCGTATTCCGAGAACGACGATATGGACAATCGCGAGAAATAAAGACATTATTAAATCTGCTAACGTTGCGAAAGGGGTTAAATCAATTTCTAAACAGAGATCGAAGACATTAGATCATGTCGAGAAATTGCTTTTGCTTTGGATAACTGAAAAACAGTGCTGGAGACAGCGTATCGGAAGCAATTATTTGCGAGAAAGCTAAAAAGATACACGCTGATCTCACGAAAAATCAAGCAGGAACTAGCCAGGAAAGCGAGGTGTTTAAAGCCAGCCATTTTTTTACACGAGAACGGATTAATCATTTTTACATTACTTCTTATGGGAAAGGTTGGTTTGGTATACGTCCAATTCGGTATAAGTCCAAACATCGGAAACGGATTAAGGTCGTATACCGAGGTTCCACTGTATATCTATACTAATATTATAAAGAGGTAAAGTTTGTAAGTTTCGATGTAGGAGGTAATCTCCGAAACTCATCCGATTTCAAAAATTCTTTCACCAATATTTAGAATGGACCTTCAGGATGGACATAGGCTGTATATTATTTCGTTAAACGTTCATATAAATTAAAAGATATCATCTAGGTAAGCAAGCGTTAAATTTTTGGTGTCAGCGAGTGGCGAGGAGCGTATACGAGATAGGTAACCACGCGGCGAGATACGCAGTGCACGTGTCCGAACTTGTGATATATAAAATTACATATCCTGACTGATTCATCATCGCCCAGAGCAAACCTATGTATATTAAAAAACATTATCGACGTAATGATGAAGAAAAGATGGTATTATTTAGACTTTTCGTAAGAATTTATAAACGAAGTAAGATCATATCCGCAAAGTTTAACCAGGTAGATTACAAAAATATTTTAAAAAATTAGAAAAACGTAAAACGATTTCTAACACCCGTTCTGATTGGTTCTTACAAATCGGCCACCGACATATAATCGTACTCAATGTGAATGCTTCTACTACTAGTTGGTCCGATTATAGGATCGGTCGGGTCGGACCACTCGTCCAGTTGGTCATAGTGTAAAACAGCCCTAAGGCAGTCGAAAAATCTCAGGAAACTTTCAGGAAAAATCCGTTCATCAGTCACCATCTGACCGCCCCATCGTGGGCATGCTCTTGAACTCATGATAAGTTTGAAAAAAGTCCTTTTGGTGCCCGTAGGACGGGGGCAATATATACATGCATAATATACATATATTGATATCCTGGTACTTTGAAACCGTGCTAGTAGTTACCGGTATTAGTAGTAATTCAAACACAAATTATTATTGTATTTATTTTCAGGCACTTGGCAATTTTTATCATCAAATTTTATTTAGTTGATACGTGTTGATATTATTTACACACGTTTCGGGCATTTATTGCCCCTCCTCAGCCAACTAAAAACAAAAGTTCATAAGTTACAACACTATAAAATTATAAACCTAATATGTTTGTTGTTTATAATTTTATAGTGTTGTAACTTATGAACTTTTGTTTTTAGTTGGCTGAGGAGGGGCAATAAATGCCCGTAACGTGTGTAAATAATATCAACACGTAGCAACTAAATAAAATTTGATGATAAAAATTGCCAAGTGCCTGAAAATAAATACAATAATAATTTGTGTTTGAATTACTACTATATATTGATATATTGTTACTAAATATTTCAGATTTTTTTACTATACCGGCATAGGAAGAGTGGGATGGAATAAGGCAATACAACACGGACGATCTGCCAAGTGCCAAATGTCTTCCAGTTAACCTTTCTATACTTCTAATATGTAAAGAATAGACAATAAAATAAAATAAATTTATAAAAAAATAAAACTATTGATGAACCGAATAACAAAACTCAAATGAATTTACAATATCATAAATTTTTTTCAAAGTTTTATCGTAGAGAAATACAAAACTTTTGATCTAAAATTAGATTAAATCCATGTATACTGTAGGTCTATATAGTAGACCTACAGTATACAGTAGTCTATACTGTAGGTCATATAGTATACATGGATATATATATCCATGTATACTATATGTAAGTATACATGGATACGTATATACTATACAGATATATATATATATCTCAATTTCGAATAATTTAAATTTCTTAAATATTCTATACACCATAATATATAGCGATTAAATGAAATATGAACATCACGGATAGATTCAAAGAGAATTAATTTTATTTTACAGGCATGATTACTTTATTCTTTACTTATTCCACGACTGTTCTATTTACATATAGATTTTCATTACGAATTATATTTTAGAAAAAATTTATTATAGTTTATATTTATTCATATTATAATAATAAACCTTGATAGTAAGACCTAATTTTATTAAAACTGGGTCATTTACTAAAAACATTCTCACAATTAACCAAACAATAGTAATTTAAAACATATCAGATGTTATTCATGTATAAAACTTCCAGGTGAGGAAAATTAATCCATGATAATCCATGGTAAAATTCTTAGCAATATTAATCGAAAGTGTCTTTTCATCAAAACTATTTTTAAAGAAATTACACAGCTTGAAATACATTGATTAATCTTTGTCTATTTTTATTTTTCATTTAGGCCACGAAGAAAAGAAACCGATGAAACATATAATTGGAGATCTTAGAAATATGCAAAAGTTAGAAGAGGCTTTGACTGGCGTCACCTGCGTCATTCATGCCGCGGCTGTTATAGATGTTTCGTTATTTTCGGATCGAGAATTATTGGAATATGTGAACGTTAATGGTAAGTCACAGTTCTCAGAGGTTCACTGTCCTCAGTCTCATCCGATTTGTTTTCTATGACCCATACGAAGGTCGCTGTGCTAGATTTTTTCAAGCGTTTTGTGACCTGTATTTCGCTTCCCGAATATTCACGTAGAGAAAAATTGCTTAACTAGTAGCCCACCTGCAGAATTTTATGCTAATTTTGTAAACAAAATAATGATTAAAATATTCAAACCTATTCAGGGTAAACACTTTTCCTATTGATGAATAATCATTCTCTTCAAATTCTAAAATAAAATTGGATAATAAAAAGTTATGAACTATATTTATGAAGTTTACAGATTATCAAGTCGTAAAAAGTTCGAAGTCCCCAATTGCGCTAAATTTTGTGATTGTTTTTTAAAGAATGAGTTTATATTTAATTTTAAACTTTTATATACGTAATTGAAAAATAGACGCCTTCAAGTAAAAATAAAACAAAAGTAAAATGATTATATAAGTCCTAATTTCAGATTTCCTGTGTAAAACGATAGAATTAGGCTTATCTTTCACAGTTTTTGAAGATAAATATGTAGATTTATCTAAGAATAACATGAATAAAACAAAACTTAAAGTTGATATTAAAATGAATTGGTTAATGCAAATTAATATGAAATCTTGCGGCGTATTTTATTTTATTTTTTTAAATTCATGTCAAAGTGAATGTAGTTCATTGAATACGTGAAACTCCATTGAATTCCATGCTTGTCAACTGTATAATTTTATAATAATTGGAATTATATAAACCAGAGATATTATGTAATCACGGCCTTCGAGAGAAGGCCGTGGTTACATAATACAGTATTTAAGTTTTCCCCGGCCCGGAGAAAACTTACGTGCTCGTAGTTGTTCCTATCCCGATAAAATTAATATTGCATTATTTTTACTAATAAAAATTAATTTAAAAAAATTTTTAAGACCTCTTTTTATTAATAAAGAAACATTCTACGTATTTTATTTGTTCAAAGAAAAAAAAATCTCTAAAGGGGTCCACTAAGAAACGAAAAGGGCTTGTTCTAACTCCGGACCCCATATAAACTCCTGATGGTCCTGTATTGTAAAATATAGGCCTAATAATGAAATAGAATATCAAACATAAATTATACTAATTGTAATGTATTAGTATTTACATTAGTATATTAAAAAAAAAGTTTAATCACTCCCTCCGAATTTCTATGTATTTCTATAATATAATTGTTCTTAATTTTGTGCGAATGTTTGTTTACAGTTTTCCTACAGTATCAAACCCCCATTAAATCAAGACAGCACTGTATAATGAAATTCCTGTACTTAGTTTAAATATATATTACTTGTCAAATGATGTGAAATTATTGCTTAATTTTATTATACAAATGTCATTTGTATGCTTTGTACGTAAAAATTATTTGATTTGTAATAAATAGTTTTCCTGTATGTAGTTAAAACAGATAGGAAATTAAACGATAGGGCCTGATCTAAATTGTTATGTGTCATACGTATAGTATACTACATATACAATAAGTTATATACAATGCAGAGAGTTACATTTTAAAACATGTTTATAAATTTTCCATGTTTTTTGTAAAGAGAATTCCCAATAATAATAAAGATTTTGATGAAATTGAAAACATCTTTCATTTTAATTCAATGGTGCTGAAACTTTCCGATTGGTGGACCAAATTGCGCATAGATCATAGGTAGACGGGAAACAAATATCAATATTTTGTATATTCTACATTGTCAAAAGTAGACATATTTCTAAGATACTATTAATTTAATATTTTATTTTAAAGGAACAAAAAACGTCATCGACGCTTGCATCAAGAAAAATGTACCAAAACTGATTTTCACCAGCAGCGTAGATGTTTGTATAGGAGGGGAACACATTTTTTATGGCACCGAGAGCACAACTCCAATCCCAAAAAAGTTCTTAATGGGCCCTTATGCAGAAACTAAATGCCGGGCGGAACAAATGATTTTGGATGCTAGTGGAACTCTGCTCAATGATGGTGAGTTTATATTGAAAATATGATGTATTTTAAATGTTTATAATTATAAACTTTAGTTATTCACAGAAAACCCAGCTTAATCGCAATTATTCAAAATTTTGAACTTAAAAAATATTACCGTAAATCCTCATTTAATCGCCTATGTAAACAGATTCACTTAATCGCTTATTGCTCGCTTAAACGCCCAAGGGCAATTAAGTGAAACGTTTTTCAATAGAAATTACATCTAAAACAGCGACTAGGCGAGAATTTACTGTACCTATTTGACTTTACTAAGTGCTGTAAAGTATAATTTAGTAAGATATAAAGCTTTTTACCCTCTATTCGTTAAGAAGGTTTTATATCCATTATTAGTTTGGTTCAATGAAAAGTGGTTCGATTTCTTCTGCCGACATTATCAGTAAAAAATTTCTCGAAGTTCGAATCTGCAATTCTCAGAGTAGCAAGCTGGCATCCAGTATATTATAATAAAGATGTTATCGTTTTAAATTAAAATAGGAAATAAATGTATATGTTGTTAGAGAATGTAAGCTGCTATAAATTATATTGTAAACATTTTTTCCCTTTTTTTTATTCTTTCTCACATCAAATTTTATTTTCTCTCGTTACTATTATAGTACTTGAATTGTTTGTAATTTATTCAATTTATACTGTATATAAAAGAAAAAATCTCAGCAAAGAGATGCCTAACTTTTCCAGCGAAAAACACCAAGGTATACTAACACAAAATTGTCTGTAGTTCCCTCTGTTGTGAGATCTTGTTAATTAATAATGTAAAAATTATTTTTTATTATAAAATGGCGGAAAGCTTAATTTTGAGATGAGTTTTATATTTTAAAAAATTGTAAATACTAATAACGAGTAAAATCTTCATTAAGTCCAACCCCACTCAATATGATACGTATCCCTCTCCATCACACCATCCCCTTGACGTTTAACCACCAAAATTTAATCGCGCCAATGCCCCTTATACACAAACTACCATTCCAAATTTCGTTTTTTAATCATTACCCCCTCCTGAGATATTAAACGAAATAGACGCCAACAGACTCACATACATGCATGATCATGAAATGTTTCCCTTTTTTTCGATATTTTTTTGTGTTCAAGGGTATCAAAACGTCGAGATTTGAAAAAATCAGTATGATAGAAGTTTGACATGAGTCCATGACTTTCCTTGTTATGTAAACAAAACAGTCGGCAAAATAAAATGCACAAATTATGCAAATAAGATTATTTTAAAATCGAAATACTTTCCTTACTTCCCATTATATAAGCTTATAACTGACAAAATATAAATAACTTTAAGCAAACTTTTAAATTTAACTTTTAATCTGAAAATTTTTTAAATCTTATACATTAATTAAACAATAATCAGAATCAATATTAATTATTTTTATTTTTTAAAACTGTTCTAAATATATTTTTATAATAATTTGGACGTAAAATTTATATTATATTGCACTGTGATATAAGTTATAATAGAATCCGCTTATTATGAGCACGAATATTATATCAGTTGCCCGATGTTATCAAAATTAGCATGTCCCAAAACACCAGATAAAAAAGTATTTTTAATACATTACGTGTTTAATTAGCGTTTCGGTTACAGTTATCATTATCCTCAGTTAAATAGATATTTTTAAACTTTTCACCATATCTCCTTCTGTAATTGATAATAGGCAATTTTTATCATGTATCATCAGTGCTATATTATATTATTTAAGTAACATAAAACGTTAATTTTTAATCGTTATTTGCTCTCAATAAAGTTGCTTGAATTACTAGAATTTCCTACTTGAGTTACATTCAAAATAATATATAGCAAAAGATAACACTAGATGAGTTAATATTAATGAATAAATATTTCGGTTACAAAAACTTTTTTAAATTTTTTTAATGTGTTCTTTTAATATCAGAGCCAATAAAACAAATTTCATTAATTGTAGTTCTGTTTAATTTATACCACTTAATGTTACCAGTCAGTTATTTTCATCAGTATGAGCGAATCTAAAGTAATTACAATGAGTGGATTCTACTATTGTTCTTACTTTGAAATAAGATGAAACATCTTGGAAATAAGATGAAACATCTTATTTCAAAACACAATGATTTCAAAGTAATGATTAAATTATGAAGGAAAATATAAAATATTCCATGTAAGTCATTATTCGAGATAACCAACATGTCAGATGAATATAGTTGCATCATCCAGCAACCTGACATGTTGGCTATATTACGATATGATTTTTAATCTTTCCTAAAATTAGGATGTTATTGGACAAAATTTCTAATAGGCCTAAATATTTAGATTATTACGATTAAAATTTTAACAGGAATTTGTTACTTTGATTTGAATTCCTATAGAAATTTTAAGTGTATTCTCCGATTTTCCAGAATAAACCACAGTTTTGATTATCGTGTATATTTTTGTGATCCCGTTGTCTGCAAACAGCAAACTGAATGGAGCTTTCTCATTGAATGAGTTGACTTAAAGTAATTTAGTTTTTCTGTCAACCTGAATATTTTGACAAATATATACGGTACTAACGAGAATCAAATCACAGTCTGTCGCTAAATGTTTCTTAAATTTAATATTTTGTAGAATAAGGATCTTAAAAACAGTCATTTTCGATTGGTCGTGAAAGTTCTGGAGGAAATTCTATTTTAAGCCAAATAAATCACTATTTTTTTGTTTGAAAAGAACCAAGTGAAATAAATATTTAAATTATTAATAACTTTATCTATATCTTTCTTGATTACACCTTATAATTTATAAAAATGTATTTTAACAGGCGAAACGAAACTTCGAACTCTTTCCTTACGACCTACTGTAATCTACGGAGAAGAGGATCGCTTTCTCGTCACTAGCATTTTAAGGATGGCTAAAGAAAATAATGGAATAGTAAGAAGAATCCATAGCTTGGACGAACGATTGCAGATGACTTACGTTGGAAATGCGGCTTGGGCACACATAAAAGCCAAACAAACAATTGGCAAAGACGAATCAGTTTCTGGTGAGGCATTCTTCGTCACGGATGATACACCAATTATCGATATATACGAAAACATCCGTCCCTTCGTCGAAGAGCGAGGATTTAAATTAAGTGAATATGTCATTCCATACTGGATCGTCTTTCTCTTCTTATTTTTCATCGCTTCGATAACAAGATTGATCAGCTTCGTTTTCGTCCCACCCTGGAGAATACAAAATCCCAGCACGCTCGATTATATTTGCTCTACTTTCTTCTTTAATCGAAGCAAAGCAATTTTGAGATTGGGATATCAGCCTATTTACACACCGGAAGAATCGCGCGAGAAATCGATAACATTTTATTCTAAAGTGCAGTTATAAATTTTTCTAATTATGTTATGGGATTTAACAAAAATAAAAAAATAAATAGGCCTATATCTTAATTAAAATGAAATATAATAATATTAGTAAGAAATATTATATTATTATTTGCATATTTTTGTATACTTTTTAAAATTTTTATAAAATTTTTAAATAAAATATGTTTATTTTATAGCTAATGGCTAGATCTATATATGTTTTAATTTTCAAATATCTGCATACAATATACAAATGTGAAGCAACATAAATTACAATAAGTATATTTTTAACATTTATATCCTGCAATAAGTAATAATGGATATAATTTACTATATTTTATGTTACAATTTATTATACTGTAAATGAAATTTCTAAATAGAATGTCTATTGTCTGTATGTCCCCCTATACACTTCTAAACTCATTGACCAATTAGAACCAAATTTTTCAGCGTTAGTTAACTTCTAGAACTTGCGGAAAATATAGGCTTCCATGAAACTTAGACACTTGTAATTTAAGTTTAATGCATTATTATACAAGTGAGCTTTGCGTAATAATTAATGAAAGCTCCACATAATCACGAATCATATTCTAAAATATAACCTTTTAACTTATCAATGTATATTGTAACTCAATTTGAAAAGAATAAATATTAATCTGCTGAATAATTCTCAATAAAGCATTGTAACATTCAGTATATTAAAATCCTATATTTTAAATTATAGTTTTATTGAAAAATGGACATTTAAATGGAAAAAGCAAAGCAGAATTTTAAAACTATGACCATAAAACCTGACCATAAAACTTCTGTATACAGAATAATTATAAAACAGAAATTATTTTGTAAGAACTTACGAATTTTTAACTTAAAATTAAATTGGCAGTACTAAAAAAATATAAATTTGGTAATGATATTCAAAATAAGTAAAATAATTGATGATAAAAACATTATTTGTATTTATAAATTTAAATCAGTAATACACGTTAAATTAAATAATAACATGTTTAAATTTGTTTTGTAAATTAATTTCAAAAAGTTCAAGTGAGAAAATTTTATTTTTTTACATCATACTTTCAATGGGTTTTGGTAGCAAAATGAAAATATAAAATTCCATTTCTTTGCCTTGATAATTTAATTTTTTATTAGTAATAATGAAAATAAAGTTATTAAGATTCTAAACATTTTAGTATATTTATAAAATTAGAATTATTATAGCAATGGCTTAATTAGAAAGTTTAATTCCTTAAGCAAATATGATAAAGGCCTTCTGATGCTTAGGACCTAACCTCATCACTCCACACTCATGATAGTATAGGAATTTTAATTTGTTGGAAAATATGATAGGTACTGTACCTGTACATAAAATTTATTTTGTTGTAAGCAAATTAAAACAAAAAATATTCCAATAGTGATCTATAAATAGGCTTATAAATAAAATAAAAAAGATTGGTTTTAACAAAAAGTAACAAAGATTTAAAAAATAATAATAAAATAATCACAGAAATTTCATAAGTTACAGTCAATATTTTAAGTATTTGGATTAATGGATAACTAATATAAATATACGTCCTAAGTCCATTAAATTAAAATTCAGGTTTATTATTTTTGTTAAATATATCTCGTATAAATGATATCGTTGGACAACATATTCTTTCTTGTCATATTATTGGCTAACTACAATTAGACATTTTTTTTTCAAAACTAGTTTTGAAACAGAATTACAACCATTTTGCAACGGTACAAAATGATAATTGTAACGGGGGGGGAAACTAAAATACTTTTATTTAAAGTTAATCGTTTCTAGTCAGAACAAATGTAAAAAATATTATTCTTCTTAGGTATAATTAAACTTATACTTAAATTTATACTCTCCCATACAAACAGTGCCCAGGGATTGGTCTATTTATGGGTCTTTAGCGTCGCTTAATCGTGCTTAACAGTAGTTACCCTACTGTACCACGAATTCGTCGGTGTCCCACAACAATTTTATTGTATTTCTCTGGGATAATCTACGACATGCAGAGTCAAGTTTAAAAATTCAACAAATTCAAAATTCATAAACTTTATTATGTCAGTTAAATTTTACAAACGTACGATGTTTCACAAGAGTTATAAATTACAACGTTTAAGATATTTACAGTGTGGGTTTCACGCACACACAAAATAGAGTTCAAATAGTCCATTAATTAATCCTGAACATGTCTGTCGAGAAGACACCTTGCGATACAATCCCTGAGACTTAGCTAGATGGAAGCTCCTTCCGGCGTTCGTCGAAGAAAGCGAGACGAAAGCAACCCTGCCTCGAGCTTAACGTTAAACAACAGTTCTGATCTCAGTTCTTTTGACCAACTCCACTTTTCCCACCAAAACTTCAACCTTTTATATCAATTTGTGTTACTTATCATATTACAGTAGAACCTCCATTATCCGGATTTTCGATTATCCGGATTGTTCAAAATAAACAAAAATTTTACGAATTTGCTGATTTGCACTTGGCGAATTACGACACTGTTTATGTATGTGATTGAATTCATAACTTTTTTGTTTCAACGACGTCTCACCCAGCACAATAGTCGTAAACTCTTAAATATATTTTACGTAGTAATAAAAATATAACTTGACATACGTATTTATAAATAATTTATATTCAAATTACATCATTTCTATGACCAAGGGCGGCGTAAGGCATGGACGACGTGGGCCACCTCCTATGCCTCGCGGTCCGAAGGGCCTCGCGCCTCGAAGGTTTATGCATTACTTAAAA